CACTTAGCGCTGTAGATCTGTCAAGAAAGCTTTTAAGCTCAAGAAGTACCGCCTCGCTAAACAATATTATGGTGAAAAAGGATTTTTAAGAAGCCAATTAACCCTGGTACATTCTTATTGCAAGGACAGTCATTTTGATAAGTCCTCGCAGAGGTTACTTATTTCTTCCGACAAAAAAGAATTTTTTTCTTTCCAAAATTCCTCAATTTATAACTAGGGAAATTATCTTCTTACCGCCATAAATCAAACAGACTAATATTACGGACACCGGAAATAGCTGGCCATTTAAAATAAACCACAAGGCTATATAAAAACCACATGAAACTTCTTATCTTCTTTGATAGGAAATGCATGTTTGCGAGGTACAAAAAAGTATACATTTTGTGCTAGCGAATGGAGATATGAGAATTGGCGGGAAGGGGTGGGTGTTACAATTCTATTTGGCGATTCCACACAAACCAATAACCCTATGAGGACAAACTGAAACTATGAACATATTTATTAGACTTTTATTAGACTTTGTTACTCTGTTATACATATAGATACCTTTAGTATGATAGCCAGGGCTTCTGTTGGTACCAGCTTAGTGCTGAAAGGGCTACCCTGTTTAAATAAACTTGACCTTATTTTATTTTATCTCTGAGAATTTAATAATTTGGTGACAGTATCTATTTTTAGTCGAAAAATAAAGGCTTCCTGTGAAATACTTTTGTACTGGTTTGTGTCTTTGATCTGGGATTCTGAGTAGGGGAAGGGGATAACGGGAAGGTAAATTTGACGTACAGTACGGTACATCAGGGTACCATGTCCGGGCACAAATCGAGATCCGCGTCTTACATTTTTTTTTTCTTTTTTAATACACCCTAAAGCATTCTCAGAATGAAAGCACGTATAGTTAGAAATTCAATATTTCTGCAGAGGAAGAGGGAGGGTACCATTCGGACGTGGAACATGGTAGTTTTCTAGAATCTCCTTTGTATTTCCCGCTTGTATCCGTTGCCATTATTTTGCTCTTCCGACGGATGTTTTGGGCCAGGCGCGACCAACAACCTTGCATTCATCATGCGCAGCTAAGTTTGGCCGAGGGGCGTGTAGGAGAGACTGGACCGGCTTCGTGCAGTGCGCAGAGGCCGTGGCACTTCAGAATTTCCCGGCCTCCATGTTTGAACCCGAGACACTAACATTTGATTTCTGTGGTGTTTGGAGGAAAATTTTGCTGGAAAGACGGATTTGAAATTCGGCAAGACGGCAGCACCGCAGCGGACGGGCTGAGAGCATTCTTTGCCCATGGAACATAGTGGCCAAGATCGACCGAGGGTCCGCACAACGAAGGTGAATTTCGAAAAATTTGGCTTTGTTTCGCCAAGACGCCGTATTTAAACAAGACGAGCAATTTTCGACTCTACCTCGCGTCGAGTCTGCCGCGGTTTGCGGCTTTCTTACGCAACGGAGAGTTGTAGTTTGCCTGGAATTTGTTAGAAGAGGCATTTTTGGAACTGACCAGCATTTTAGTAGAGTTTAAACAAGCGTTTCTGCGCGAAGAGAAAAGAAAGTTTATAGCCATGTCTTATCTGCCTGAACGACCATGTCATGGGCCAACTCCCGACAAGGTCTGCGACTGAGTTGCAATTTTTCGTTAAATTGCCAATTCATCGCACACTCTAGCCTATGCCCTTGATCCTTGGATAGTTGGCAAACGCATAATCCTTTATTTGCTGTCATTTTGATCTCCTAGGTCCCCGATGGCCACAGTTCTACATCATCTGGCTCTAGAACGAGTCGGAACCGCTCTTCAACCTCGAATGCGGAGGAAGTCCACATAGGCAAATATCGTCTGATAAAAACTATTGGGAAAGGGAATTTCGCTAAAGTGAAACTCGCCAAGCATGTACCGACGGGAAAGGAGGTAAATATTATATCGTTCTCTATTTACAGTGGCAAATGCGCTTGTGGATTCATCGCGTTCGATCGTCTTGCTTATTTGCTCGCTGCGAGGGAGAGAGTGTAATAATTAAACACAGACCGGCCCTACGCCTTCACTAAGTTCTATATTTTCCCGTTCAAAAGGTGGCCATCAAGATTATTGACAAGACGCAGCTTAACCCGAGCAGCTTGCAAAAGGTATGTTTTATATTATACGAAACGACGAAATCGGTAGAGAGTAGTAACGTGTTTTCGCGTCGATCAAGCTAGCTATTTCGCTAGCTTGTCGCATGTAATTACGTATTCGAAAGCAACGTTGGAACCTTCGGTTTGTTTTGAAGAGCGCATCAAACCACGTAATTTACCGTTTTCGTCGTGTATAACTAGCAAAAGTAGAGATTTCGTTGCCTACCTTACAGACCCAAGATCTCGATGGCACAGCGCCCGTTGAGCTACAGCTGTACACCTTGACTTTGTTGATTTTCCTCCGAGCGTACGTTGATGTGTGGGAAAAAATTCTGTATTCTAAACTGAAATTGTTCGTTTACATATTACTGTCAGTTTAATAGAAGACTCTGCTAACATTCGCATTAGAGCACCACCAAGACTTGGTAATTTCTTTCGGATACAAGCTTAATAATGTTTTGAATGAAGCGATCGTAGAAGGAGAAATAGTGTTTTTAAAATCGAAAGGTTAACCGAAGGTTTTTTTCACGGGCTTATTTTATTTGTTCAATTTTTGCTGTGAAGTTGTATTACATCGAAGTATAATTAGTTGCATGGCGAAAGATTGCCCGTTGTTAAATCTGTTAGTTGGGGTAAAAAATTCTGTAACGTTGTAGGGACGGACTTCTGACGGTACAAAGATTTTGTGACGCGAAGTGAAAATTTTAGACAGCATCTCAGGTTGTGTTTTATTAATAAAGTGTTGGTCCATTTTGTATTGCACGTGTTTTCTTAAGATTTCCTCGGTCGGTTGGCTAATGCAACTTTTAAATCGGACGAATGAAAACTGTTGCCGAAATCCCCGCAGATTTACTCGGAATTTCTTGGGTCAGTAGCCTTGCAAATCGCGTGCACATTTTTCAAATAAATGGACAAAGTTCTTTCCATCCTGTGTAGTAATGTGGATTGATAAAAATCGAATCGGTCGGTTACCCTTGTATATTTACAAAACTGTGCGGTAGACGCAGTGGTTCGGCAGGGATTTTTCCACTCATCGATAAAATAATATTTTCCGTTGGTAATTTGTCCTCGCTGCGTGTACTAGAGTGAGGGTTTTACGTCACAGTTGAAATGTCTTAAAAGGTGTTATGTTATTTATCCATGGGTTTTTGTACACCACACGTCGGCTTATCCTTCAAGCAGCTGTGAAGAGAGCAAGATCTAGACCTGATATTCTAGTAGCTCTTTGTAAAATATTGTTCCTAAGTCGGTACACTGTTAGATTAAGAATATATCTTGTTGTTCCATTATTAGCATCTGCAGGAAAGTGAACACAATATGCCACCATTATTTTTGTCCTATAGTCTTTGTACCTTGATGTGCTAAAAGGATTCTTTGCAGACACTGTAGTTGTAATGGCACATCCTGGGTGAAATCCAATGTTGTTGGCCCTTTTGTGTCTCAAAGTTTTGTCAGTGAATTTAGGAACCAATTTTGTTCCTGGATTGGGGACAACCCCAAATTGTTTCCAGATAGCAGTGGAATTATTTGGTGACTTTATCATCAACTGTTTGTTCTTTAAAAGTTATGTTAAGTCTGTCAAGTTATTTTTTATCACATTGGTATATCTATGCATAGCCCTTCAAAAGACAGTAATTTTAATTAGTTCTTCTGAATAACAGCATGTTCAATAATAATTTTTCACTTTTTATTTCCTGCCCTGTTGTTACACTTGAGCCAGGTTTTCACATGGTGGTTGTTGATACCCTTCCAACTCAAGTTGTGTTTGTCTTTCATTAACACAGATGATGAATAGCTTCATCTTCCTTAAATAGTTTTACTGCTGGTTAATCATCCAGATGTGAACTAGTAGTTAGCTAAAACTTTGGTTTTGTTTGTCAAATTCATCTTGTGGTTGGTCAAGATTCAGTGTATCAGCCCCAATTACAGCTGTAGTGCTTGTGTAGAGCTCTGCCTCAATTATTGTAGATCTTGTAGGCAGAAGCAGTTAGCTTTGTGAGCTTTCCCCATTAATTTTTTTCACAAGTAAACTCATATATCAAGGCTGCAAATAACAGTCGGTCATCGGACAATTGTCCGGTAAATCTGAGATTTTGACAGGTAAAAGCTTAGCCTGGTCGGACACTCTGACGGGGCATTTCTGATAAACGAAAAATATCTTAACTGGAAATTTGTGGCCAAATATGGCACAATTTTTTTTATTATACTGCCACACAATACTATGCAAAAAAAGCTTTGTTATTATAGTTTCACCTTTATTCCATTTCTGAGCAATAATTTTAACACGTGCAATGCGTCGTCTCAAATGTCACATCGAATTGTGCTAGTATCGATTTTATACTCAGTTTATTTCGCTTTTTAGTCATTCCAATTTGCAACCAACATTTGGGCAGAGGTTCTACTCTGAAATACCAAAATGTCTCAATCCAGTCTGGTCCGACCAGACTGGCTTTTTGTCAGGCCAAAACTTATCTTTGGCCTGACAAATGACTTGCTCGTAGACAAAAATTATTTGCAGGCTTGTATATTGTTTGAGGCATATAATGGTGTGTTGCACCATAAAGCAGGACTTTTGTATGATACTGTGATTGCAAAATCTATATGGTACATATGCACATTTCATTGACGTCATCATTTGCATGAAAATATTTCATTGATTTGTACATGTACATTTAGCATTTTTTTGCTTGTGTGTTTCTTATCATAAATTGAATATTCACAACCGGTTGCATTTTGAAGACGTTACAACTCAAGTGAATTGTGAAGCTGTAAATTCAAGCATACATCTATAAGATTTTCACATGTAGTAAAGTAGCACGTTTTGTTTTAAGGTTGCGTAAAAATTACTTCTTGTAATGATACAATATCATCAACAATTGTCTAGATCAGATATGATGCACACTACCCACAGTATAAAAAATTAACCACAAACATTGGAAGCAGACAAAAAGATGTTGCATTGAAATGTTTGTGTGTCTCGTTAATAACCCAGTTAGTATTTGATGTGATCACGTAGCTAAATGGAAGAAGCAAGTCATCAGTCAGCTACTTGTCTATTGATGTTACATGGGCCCTGAGTACAACAATATTCTAATGTAAAGTTTCTTAAGCTTTTACTCTCAACACTTAAGATACCAAATCATCTGTTGTGTATACCTGGGGTGGTAAAACAGAGTTTTCTTGTTGCATTTATGAAAATGTACTGGTTCTTTATATTTAAGTGCAGTAATTGTATTAGATATTACTTGTAATTTGCCATGATGTGAACAGTATTAATATAGCCTGTCGGTGCATGTGTACAGCAACAAGTTAGATATTGAAGAAGAAGCACATTTGATATTTTTAAGTGCTTGCATATTGATCTGTTTGCAGTTTTTAAAACAAGGAAGAAGTACAGCTTAAATTGAAACTTCAGTGAGCTTTTCTTCCATGTAGCTTCTGGTTTTCATACACTTGTAAATGGGTACAAAACCTTTTTTCTTGTCAACAATTAGTTGTGCTGGGTTTCTTTCTTCCTTATTAGGTGCATAAGGTCTGGTCAACTGGTTTTGTCATTTATAACAAATATATTTAATGATCACTGTGTGTAATTAAAGGTTTTAAAAAAGAAAAGATTGAGACAGCTATCTAGTCTTTTGTCTTAATCCCGATTATTAGCCTTTTAATTCCCAAAAGTAATCAGCATCAAGTTTTTCATTGAAATACCAATTCATTTTCAATACCAATTCATTTTCAAGCATGAAATTGAAAGCATGAAATTACAAAAAATTATTCTCAAGGATGTGTTCCAAACTATGCGAGCTAATGCGAGCTAACACATTTCCCATTGCATACATTATACTTTTATCATTATCCTAATTCAGCCTCAAAATTGAAACTAAGAAATGAATTGGTTTGTCTAGCAATGCACGCAGAAATTTCAATTAATTGTTTTTTGTATTTTCAAAATATAAAGTTTTTCTGTTATTATTATTTTTATTTAGTTGTTTTTGCTTTTAATAGCAGGCTGGCACATTATATGAGGTACTTAAGTGCCTTTTATTTGTGACTTAGTTTCAATCATTTTCCTTGATGTTGCTTAGTACTAATGTGTGGAATGTCGTAGATAATGCAGCAACGAACTTATACATGTTGACTTTGTATGTGTTTAATAGAAACTTTGGTGGGAGGATTAATTTATATTTTGGTACAAATGCAGGTGTAGTGCTTTTGGTAATTGTGTCTTCTGAGAAAGATCAGATTACAATGTACATGTACATGAATTTTAAAACATTCCTGAATTGCAGATGTTAGTTTTTTTTACATTTTCCACGTTGTGTATCATGTGCTCTATTAATATTGCACAATGCAAACTCATTGTCAAATAGTCCTATCTGTCATTACAATTTCTTTTTGCAGTAATTCTACAGTGTTGTTCTGGTAATTTCTTGTTATCATCTATATCTTTTGTGAGATTCAACATTGTGATTCACATCCACTGACATATTTGTTTTCAGTGATTTGTGTGTAGTTGGCAATCACTCTTAGAAGTTGCTTGATGGCTTGAAATTTCTCGATACTTTTTCCATTGGCATAGATTCGTTTACCCACATCAGTTCAGAATATTCTGCGTTATTAAAAGAGGATAAATTGTAGATGTTTTTAACAATTTTCTAACTTTTGACAAATGTCTGCTATAGAGTTTGGTTGCTAGTTGCGCTTAGATACAGTTATATGGTGTTTTTATAAACTATTTAGCAGCTACGCATGTAACTATATGGAAAGCTAAGTTTCTTTTAATGGGACTCCTAGCTTCAGTTCTTTGGTCAATACGTGAACACACACTTCCACTTTCATGCTTTGTCAAAAGTGGGTACGATTAAACAAACAAATAATCTGTGTTTCATGCTTAAATCTACATAAAATGGTAATGGACCAGATTCATGCATCTCAATCCTTTATACTTTGGGAAAATTAAGCATCATCATTTATGAAATCTGTGTAAGCTTGTCACATAAGTACCGAAATAATTTTATTATTGAGAGTTCAATTTTGCTTTCTTTGTACGTGTATAATTCAGGATATTTTCCACTTGAACATTTGTTTATTTTATTTTTTTTATTTTTATTTTTTGCAGTTGTTTCGAGAGGTCAGGATCATGAAGTTTCTTGACCATCCCAACATTGGTAAAGATATATTTTTTGGTTTTTACTAAATGTAATTTCATGTACATTGGGTTGGTGTGAGATCTAGTCGACATCTTTACAAGTTCATGTAGTTTGCACTACAAACAAAGCCCACTTCGCAGACTTATCATTTACCCTTTGTTCCCTGCAGAAAGCTGGAAACTCATAGATATTCTCCTTTATTAATCCTCTAAACATGGACGCTCTCTTGATTCAATTTTACGTACATGTATGCTGTTGTTTAGATTGGTGTTTGATAATTTGGAAGTTTGATACCAGTTCAATTTGTATGTTGGTACATGTAGTTTTTTATGGCAGAATCCCTGCGGCACATGTACTGCAAAGTAACATGAGGGGACACTGTACAGANGGAACATGGTAGTTTTCTAGAATCTCCTTTGTATTTCCCGCTTGTATCCGTTGCCATTATTTTGCTCTTCCGACGGATGTTTTGGGCCAGGCGCGACCAACAACCTTGCATTCATCATGCGCAGCTAAGTTTGGCCGAGGGGCGTGTAGGAGAGACTGGACCGGCTTCGTGCAGTGCGCAGAGGCCGTGGCACTTCAGAATTTCCCGGCCTCCATGTTTGAACCCGAGACACTAACATTTGATTTCTGTGGTGTTTGGAGGAAAATTTTGCTGGAAAGACGGATTTGAAATTCGGCAAGACGGCAGCACCGCAGCGGACGGGCTGAGAGCATTCTTTGCCCATGGAACATAGTGGCCAAGATCGACCGAGGGTCCGCACAACGAAGGTGAATTTCGAAAAATTTGGCTTTGTTTCGCCAAGACGCCGTATTTAAACAAGACGAGCAATTTTCGACTCTACCTCGCGTCGAGTCTGCCGCGGTTTGCGGCTTTCTTACGCAACGGAGAGTTGTAGTTTGCCTGGAATTTGTTAGAAGAGGCATTTTTGGAACTGACCAGCATTTTAGTAGAGTTTAAACAAGCGTTTCTGCGCGAAGAGAAAAGAAAGTTTATAGCCATGTCTTCTCTGCCTGAACGACCATGTCATGGGCCAACTCCCGACAAGGTCTGCGACTGAGTTGCAATTTTTCGTTAAATTGCCAATTCATCGCACACTCTAGCCTATGCCCTTGATCCTTGGATAGTTGGCAAACGCATAATCCTTTATTTGCTGTCATTTTGATCTCCTAGGTCCCCGATGGCCACAGTTCTACATCATCTGGCTCTAGAACGAGTCGGAACCGCTCTTCAACCTCGAATGCGGAGGAAGTCCACATAGGCAAATATCGTCTGATAAAAACTATTGGGAAAGGGAATTTCGCTAAAGTGAAACTCGCCAAGCATGTACCGACGGGAAAGGAGGTAAATATTATATCGTTCTCTATTTACAGTGGCAAATGCGCTTGTGGATTCATCGCGTTCGATCGTCTTGCTTATTTGCTCGCTGCGAGGGAGAGAGTGTAATAATTAAACACAGACCGGCCCTACGCCTTCACTAAGTTTTATATTTTCCCGTTCAAAAGGTGGCCATCAAGATTATTGACAAGACGCAGCTTAACCCGAGCAGCTTGCAAAAGGTATGTTTTATATTATACGAAACGACGAAATCGGTAGAGAGTAGTAACGTGTTTTCGCGTCGATCAAGCTAGCTATTTCGCTAGCTTGTCGCATGTAATTACGTATTCGAAAGCAACGTTGGAACCTTCGGTTTGTTTTGAAGAGCGCATCAAACCACGTAATTTACCGTTTTCGTCGTGTATAACTAGCAAAAGTAGAGATTTCGTTGCCTACCTTACAGACCCAAGATCTCGATGGCACAGCGCCCGTTGAGCTACAGCTGTACACCTTGACTTTGTTGATTTTCCTCCGAGCGTACGTTGATGTGTGGGAAAAAATTCTGTATTCTAAACTGAAATTGTTCGTTTACATATTACTGTCAGTTTAATAGAAGACTCTGCTAACATTCGCATTAGAGCACCACCAAGACTTGGTAATTTCTTTCGGATACAAGCTTAATAATGTTTTGAATGAAGCGATCGTAGAAGGAGAAATAGTGTTTTTAAAATCGAAAGGTTAACCGAAGGTTTTTTTCACGGGCTTATTTTATTTGTTCAATTTTTGCTGTGAAGTTGTATTACATCGAAGTATAATTAGTTGCATGGCGAAAGATTGCCCGTTGTTAAATCTGTTAGTTGGGGTAAAAAATTCTGTAACGTTGTAGGGACGGACTTCTGACGGTACAAAGATTTTGTGACGCGAAGTGAAAATTTTAGACAGCATCTCAGGTTGTGTTTTATTAATAAAGTGTTGGTCCATTTTGTATTGCACGTGTTTTCTTAAGATTTCCTCGGTCGGTTGGCTAATGCAACTTTTAAATCGGACGAATGAAAACTGTTGCCGAAATCCCCGCAGATTTACTCGGAATTTCTTGGGTCAGTAGCCTTGCAAATCGCGTGCACATTTTTCAAATAAATGGACAAAGTTCTTTCCATCCTGTGTAGTAATGTGGATTGATAAAAATCGAATCGGTCGGTTACCCTTGTATATTTACAAAACTGTGCGGTAGACGCAGTGGTTCGGCAGGGATTTTTCCACTCATCGATAAAATAATATTTTCCGTTGGTAATTTGTCCTCGCTGCGTGTACTAGAGTGAGGGTTTTACGTCACAGTTGAAATGTCTTAAAAGGTGTTATGTTATTTATCCATGGGTTTTTGTACACCACACGTCGGCTTATCCTTCAAGCAGCTGTGAAGAGAGCAAGATCTAGACCTGATATTCTAGTAGCTCTTTGTAAAATATTGTTCCTAAGTCGGTACACTGTTAGATTAAGAATATATCTTGTTGTTCCATTATTAGCATCTGCAGGAAAGTGAACACAATATGCCACCATTATTTTTGTCCTATAGTCTTTGTACCTTGATGTGCTAAAAGGATTCTTTGCAGACACTGTAGTTGTAATGGCACATCCTGGGTGAAATCCAATGTTGTTGGCCCTTTTGTGTCTCAAAGTTTTGTCAGTGAATTTAGGAACCAATTTTGTTCCTGGATTGGGGACAACCCCAAATTGTTTCCAGATAGCAGTGGAATTATTTGGTGACTTTATCATCAACTGTTTGTTCTTTAAAAGTTATGTTAAGTCTGTCAAGTTATTTTTTATCACATTGGTATATCTATGCATAGCCCTTCAAAAGACAGTAATTTTAATTAGTTCTTCTGAATAACAGCATGTTCAATAATAATTTTTCACTTTTTATTTCCTGCCCTGTTGTTACACTTGAGCCAGGTTTTCACATGGTGGTTGTTGATACCCTTCCAACTCAAGTTGTGTTTGTCTTTCATTAACACAGATGATGAATAGCTTCATCTTCCTTAAATAGTTTTACTGCTGGTTAATCATCCAGATGTGAACTAGTAGTTAGCTAAAACTTTGGTTTTGTTTGTCAAATTCATCTTGTGGTTGGTCAAGATTCAGTGTATCAGCCCCAATTACAGCTGTAGTGCTTGTGTAGAGCTCTGCCTCAATTATTGTAGATCTTGTAGGCAGAAGCAGTTAGCTTTGTGAGCTTTCCCCATTAATTTTTTTCACAAGTAAACTCATATATCAAGGCTGCAAATAACAGTCGGTCATCGGACAATTGTCCGGTAAATCTGAGATTTTGACAGGTAAAAGCTTAGCCTGGTCGGACACTCTGACGGGGCATTTCTGATAAACGAAAAATATCTTAACTGGAAATTTGTGGCCAAATATGGCACAATTTTTTTTATTATACTGCCACACAATACTATGCAAAAAAAGCTTTGTTATTATAGTTTCACCTTTATTCCATTTCTGAGCAATAATTTTAACACGTGCAATGCGTCGTCTCAAATGTCACATCGAATTGTGCTAGTATCGATTTTATACTCAGTTTATTTCGCTTTTTAGTCATTCCAATTTGCAACCAACATTTGGGCAGAGGTTCTACTCTGAAATACCAAAATGTCTCAATCCAGTCTGGTCCGACCAGACTGGCTTTTTGTCAGGCCAAAACTTATCTTTGGCCTGACAAATGACTTGCTCGTAGACAAAAATTATTTGCAGGCTTGTATATTGTTTGAGGCATATAATGGTGTGTTGCACCATAAAGCAGGACTTTTGTATGATACTGTGATTGCAAAATCTATATGGTACATATGCACATTTCATTGACGTCATCATTTGCATGAAAATATTTCATTGATTTGTACATGTACATTTAGCATTTTTTTGCTTGTGTGTTTCTTATCATAAATTGAATATTCACAACCGGTTGCATTTTGAAGACGTTACAACTCAAGTGAATTGTGAAGCTGTAAATTCAAGCATACATCTATAAGATTTTCACATGTAGTAAAGTAGCACGTTTTGTTTTAAGGTTGCGTAAAAATTACTTCTTGTAATGATACAATATCATCAACAATTGTCTAGATCAGATATGATGCACACTACCCACAGTATAAAAAATTAACCACAAACATTGGAAGCAGACAAAAAGATGTTGCATTGAAATGTTTGTGTGTCTCGTTAATAACCCAGTTAGTATTTGATGTGATCACGTAGCTAAATGGAAGAAGCAAGTCATCAGTCAGCTACTTGTCTATTGATGTTACATGGGCCCTGAGTACAACAATATTCTAATGTAAAGTTTCTTAAGCTTTTACTCTCAACACTTAAGATACCAAATCGTCTGTTGTGTATACCTGGGGTGGTAAAACAGAGTTTTCTTGTTGCATTTATGAAAATGTACTGGTTCTTTATATTTAAGTGCAGTAATTGTATTAGATATTACTTGTAATTTGCCATGATGTGAACAGTATTAATATAGCCTGTCGGTGCATGTGTACAGCAACAAGTTAGATATTGAAGAAGAAGCACATTTGATATTTTTAAGTGCTTGCATATTGATCTGTTTGCAGTTTTTAAAACAAGGAAGAAGTACAGCTTAAATTGAAACTTCAGTGAGCTTTTCTTCCATGTAGCTTCTGGTTTTCATACACTTGTAAATGGGTACAAAACCTTTTTTCTTGTCAACAATTAGTTGTGCTGGGTTTCTTTCTTCCTTATTAGGTGCATAAGGTCTGGTCAACTGGTTTTGTCATTTATAACAAATATATTTAAT